GAAACCCTGGCACATTGTGACCCACACCCGTTTTCACACCTTGACTCATGTGATTAGGTAGAGGATCATCAGGGGGTCCTTTGTCCCTCTTTGGGGGAAACTCCCACTGGGTTTAAATCTGGGACTATCCGCCATTTGACTCTTAGAACTGAAGAAGCTTCTCGGATGAGAGGTGAAACGTTTTCAAGCAACTTAAAGAAGTCCAGACGCTTTTCTTTCCAAGCTCCTTAGACTAGTCTCCTGATTATACATTATAAAAGTTATTATTGTTCGTTGTTGTGATTTGGCGCTGTATAAATAAAACTGAGTTGAATTAGAATTATACTTCAATTTATGGCTTTGTTAGCTTTTTTCTTGTTAGTTTGCAGCATAATGGAGGAACAATCGAGCCTACTTACTGTAATATATTTATGCCTATTTACATCTTATTTACTCTGACAGTAAATATTCTCAAAAAACTGCCATTTACCTTCCAGTTTATTGGCTGCCACTTCATCCTTGCGTCTTATTTCCTTAAGCAAAATATCCATGATTTCACCTGCAGAAAAGAAGAAAAAATCAGAGAAAACGGAGGTTGGACATTTCTCATACTGTATAGTTCCTGTTTCTGTTCTCCTGTTGGATTGACATAACATCTGAACAATGTGGAAACAGACCTGCTCTACAAGCTGGGCCTGCAGGAGCAAAAGAGAAGATGCTGGGATGAAAAAAAACCCAAACAACAAATACTTTTAGCTGTAGATATTGTTGATCGTGTTGTCAGTCTAGCCAAGCTGATCACAAAACGCCCATCATTTCAGAATTAACCCACAAGGTTTAGTGCTCATGGGAATTTGTGAAGTCAGACGTTGATGTTGACGAGAAGGCCTGATTCCCAGTCTCCACTCTAATTAATCCCAAAGTTGTTGTGTCAGGTTGAGGTCAGAACTCTGTGCAGACCAGTCAAGTTCTTCCACACCAAAGTGGCTAATTGATGACTTTATGGACTTTGCTTGGTGCATTGGTGTGCAGTCATGTTGGAGCAGCAAGGGCCCATTATTGACTAAAAAAATGGATGCCTGTTAATCTGTCCATTACATTGAGAGAATGACATGTCAACTGAGACTTCATGTCTCTGTTATTTCCATTCTGTGGATTCATGTAAAAGTAGATGTAAAAGCAAACAAGCCTGAGCTGTGGTCAGATATTGTGTCTATTCAATATCAAAGACATGGCGTATGCATATTCAGCATAAATGGACTGGATCAGATAAAAAGCTTTACCTACATTAAGTTGAAGTTTGCTACCCTCTGTAAAAGCTTTGAATCTGCACTCATGAAATTAAGACACGTTAATATTAGGCTTAAATAAACTGGATTAAAAACCTTTGTCCTGGTCCTGCGATGGTTGAGATTTCCTGAAGTCCTCCAGTAGATTGATATGCGGATCAAGGAAATCTTTATTCATTTGGGTCTTCATTTCCTTTAACATTTTCAGGTAGTCGACCAAAACTCCATTTTCGGTTAAGGCAGCTGGATGGAAAGTTTAAGGTTATGTATAAGAATCTGCATGTGATATTTTAAAACTTCCCCAAAACATCCTAAATCCATCCATCCATCCATTCGCTTCCGCCTATCCAAATCAAATGCAAGAGCCAACAATGTTAGCAGGCTGTACCCCTGAGAGATTCATGTGGGATGAAGCCCTTGAATTCCTCTATGAGCACACCAATTGGTTTCTGAAACAAAGAAAAACAAATAAAAGTGTTTATTGTCCAGATCTGACTTTCTATATGGGTTACACACGTCCAGCTGAATCTCTCTCCTCTCAGTTATACACAGCTTGCTTGCTTACCTGCTTGATTATATCAAAGATATCCCTTATCCGTTTGACATTTTCAACTCCAGGGAACACCAAACCCAGGTCTTGTAAAGTCAGTAACTGGAGATCTGAGTCAGCTCTCAAACCTTCCTCTGAAAGATCAGATCTGTTATTGATCAAGTAGTCTCCTGATTGTCTGTGAAGGTTCTCAGTCCTCCAGGTCATCGTAGTCTAAGGAGCTTGGAAAGAAAAGCGTCTGGACTTCTTTAAGTTGCTTGAAGA